TGGAAATCAAAAATCTATATTGGACTTGTCTGTACTTTACTTTTCCAAAGATTAATTAAGTTTTGAAATTCTATTGGATGGATATACAACCCCCAAAAGTATCTTACCAAAAAAGAAAAAAAAAACTAAAAGTGGATTTACTTTATGGGTGGACCTGTCCGAGAGACGATCAACACCCCATAACAAGAATCATGATGTGTGGGGTCTGATGTTGTACCATGTCTCCAATATCATATATTTTCTCATATAAATACATGTATGTCCATATGCATGCAGACATAAAAACACACATATACATAACAAATCCAGATAATAAGACATGCATACATGTACGCACATATGTACATATTTGTATTTTTTTTTAAGATCTCGTCTTAGTATGTATGTCTCTGTGGTGTATAAAAAAAATGAAAAACCCTAAACGGGAAAAGAATTGTGTGCCATGACTTAGAACAGAGGCTGACGTGGCTAAATGGGGATCCCCAGAGAATTAGAAGGAAGGTCCCGGGCCCTAGCATTGGTCCAATTTGTACAGAAAAAAAGAAAAAAAAAAAAGACGATATAAGCTAAAGCTTAGGTCAAAAGCCGTAATTTGATATTTTCTCTAATTAACCACCAAGTGGACCTACACATTGTTGAAAGCTTACCTTCGCATCACATGGTACGTTGCTTAAACAAGTCTTAAACAGGAGGTACGCGAAGACCAGCTGACCCTTTCTTCCAGTTGTTCGTCTTCCCATTTCTCATCTCACTGAGGCTTTCGTCTGTCACATTAACATATTCATTGACCATGCTTTCTAAATTAAAACCAGACAGCAGGCACCTCCCTCTCAACAACTCAGCTAGCTATCTACATCATAAACTAAATTATCAGAAGAAAACCCAAATTTTTATAAAATTTGGTTAGTTTGATTGGTGCTGGTGGAACCCACTGGTTTCAATAATTTTAAAATACACAGAAAAAAAAAAGTTAGGTCACTCCTCCTTATCTTTGGTCATTTTCATTTGTCTCCGGAGTTGCGTAGTAAGATGCATTTCGTCTGTAATTGATCAGTAGTGGACTGTCATGAGAAGATGAGATGGAGTTACTAAAGCTGCCTTCAAGTGCTAAGTAATAGCCTTGTGGTCAACTATATATGGGCTGCTGGATGAGTTGAATTGTTAATTTAGAGGAGGAAGGTTGTGCAAAATGGAAACACATCCATGTGTTCGACTTTAGTCCATCACTCATCTGTTCATCAACTCGATCACCTCTTCCATGCATGAACCACCAAACCAGGCCTATTTGCAGAGAGAGAGAGAGAGAGAGAGAGTAGGTAATTTGTAGTAGGATGACGTTAACCATCTAATTTGTAGAGTCTTGTAGTTATCCTTGACCATAAAATACAACTAGTCGGCGTTTTGTTAATGAATTTTGTAGGAAAATTTCCCTCTCACGTAGAGTCTTTGTCTCCTTCGAAATTAATATTTCTTGGCTGCTTAGCTCCTCCTTCCCATGTTATATGATCATGTCAAATATATATATCTAACTCAACCCGTGTTATTCTGGACCTTGGAGTTGACCATGAATCGGGTCCGCTTGGGTTCGGTTTAAGCAGGTCCAGGTCCTGCTTAGCTCCTCCTTCCCATTCCCATGTTAACACCATTTTCATATTAAAGTTAAAAGTAACAACGATTTCTTTTCTTATACAAATATAGGGGTAAATTGGTCAAAACAATTAGGATCCATTACGGTATACGCACGTAAAAAGATGTGAAAGCCGAAAGCGGGGGGGACACACAACATAACAACAGTGTAATGTTTTGGATGTGCTTAAGTACAGCCTGGGAGGATAAAGAACAACTCGAGAAGGCGGTGCGGGTGCGCGCGCATGGAAATTGTGAACTAGCGTAACCGAGATAAGGGTATGATAGTCATTACACGATCCTGAAGTCATAGCCTTCGTCAACTTTTGAAAGCCGAAAACGGAAATCAGAGAAAGAGACCGGGAATCTTGATGAGAAGAACTACGGAGAGAGAGAGAGAGAGGTCGGCCACGGCCAGTCCAAATTTTCTACGCTAAACAAAAGCTTGCCATCCAAATCCGACGGAGGAAACTCGGAAAGTCATGACAAACTGGGACCCACAAGAGCCTAGCTGCCGGAGTCTGACGACTGAAAGCACGTTTATTTGGCAAAGCCACATAAGCCACCTTGACTCATTACAAGACAATAGGTTCTTTTCCTTTTATTTTATTATTCATATTTTGGTCTTTAGGTAAAGATTCTTTTTCTTTCTTTTTTTTTCCATTTTATTTTATTTTTTTTGGGGTTCAATTCTTTTTATAATTGAGGTGGGGACTGGGGATGCAGGATGCTTACATTATCTCAAAATTCTCATCTGAGTCTGTTTTCTTTTTCTTTTTTTTTTTTCTTTATTCTGTCAAAGGGTAAAAGCTCTTGGGTAACCGAGACAGCCACTTAATTAGATATATAGTTTTTTTGTTAACCTCCTGCAACCCAGATAGCCACTTAGCTCTAAACCCTGTTGGTTTATTACAATCAAACACTATCAACTTATGAAATCTATTCCACCCCAATTCGTTTGACGATGGTTCTTCATAGAAATGGTTGCTTAATTATTAAATGTTATTTAAACTTTTGAGCTAAGTTCTGCTACCAAGAAACAAACCATGAGATGTCATTGACTTGATCCAGAAAATGTGGCGAAACATAAGGAAATTAGAATTAGAACTGCATCTTCACAGTTGCAAAAGTAAGACCAGTAGCTAAGGTTCTGTATCTTATAGACATAAATATTATTATAGCTTGCTAATAATCTTCATCAGCATTAATTCGAGATTCAGTGGATCAACAGGGTGTTGAATAAAAAAGGTTTTAAGTAAGTTATAATATGACTAATATATCATAAATATTTGGTATTGGATAAACAGGAATATACATCTGACACAAGGAAAATATAATGTAATGTGCATTATGTTTGAGCTACTATTTTCCATTAACAGATTTTTATGACACATCTTTCTTAATGTTTTGTATGTAATTTCTACAAACATTTTAATTAGTGTGTCCCTACATGCATTTTAGTCCAGCTAGCATCTCATAATAGTCTGAGTCACTCATCATTTCACATAAAAATTTAGATGAGTAGTTTCAGAAATCCATCTTATCAAAAATGTAAAAAGGGATCTGATCAAATTTGTAATCAATTAAGGGATTGGGAATGAGAAAAGAGAAAATTGGAAAAATCTGTCATGAACCCTAATGATTTAATATTGGAGAGATAGGACGATTAGATTGAAGGGCTGTTTGATAAGTCTTTCTAAGTAGATCTTTCAACAGTTCAGTAAATGAGAAGACACATGGAGTTTCTGGGGTCTTGTCTTTAAAGACCAAGACTGTTAGGTAAGCGTTGTGGTTTATTGAGCTGTTAAAAATGGCAGAAAGATCAAAAGCTTCATTTGAGCCTTCCTGATTTTTAGTTTTTTCGATATTTCCACACACTCATCTTTGGGTTTTTCAGTCTACCTGATACCAAATGGGAAAAGACCTTTTTTTTTTTGTCTTTTAATTAATCTTCTTAGAAATTGAAAGAAACGTTGAAAAGACCCACCAAACACCGCCTGAATTTTTCATATCTCTTAATGGAAGGGGTAAGTGTGTTTGTATTGGAAGTAATATTACAAATTACAATAACTTGGTCTTTTGGTTCTCCAGATTTCATGGCCAGCATTTTAGTGGAGGAATCCATCCTTAGAGATATCAAAAAAAAAAAACATGGAATAAAAAAATAAACTAAGCTACCAGTTTATTAGCAAGTTCCAAATCCCAATACTCTGGAATTATATAAAGGAAATAAAAAGCTTTAATGTTTACTGATTCCAATTTCATACGTGTTGCTTATGTCAAGTTAGCAGAGATTTCAGCGCCATAGCATTGGAAGTTGAAACTTAGCTCACAATTATTTAATCTCTTACTACTACCTATGTACATCTATCATCTTTACTATTATAATGGAGAATTAGATAGTAGAAGATAGTAGGTTTACACTGTTTACACAATTACACCTCCACCCCCCCCTGTAATTCAATGAGCATGGATGGATCTCTGATGTGTTTAAACGATATAATCAATATTAATTACCACTTGTTAATTTGAAGGATGTCTTAATTAATGATCATCAAGAAAAAAGGAAAAAAGAAAAGAAAGAAAAAGCTGTTGGGGTTTCATATAAGTTGTGGTCCCTATCCTCAACCAGAAATAAAAATAATCATCTGCTGGACCTTCTTCTACTTTCACCCCAGAATATAATGAACGTCCTCATGCAGACATTTATGAGTTCGAGTTTGACATTCAGCGTAAATCTGTTGGTTGGGGCCCATTTGAAGGATGGCCCAGATCCCCACCGTCCTGCACTCAGACTCAGTCCGTCACATGGATATGATCCATAAATTCTGGGGACTTCTGGGTGGGGCCGTAACATAAAACCGAGCCATCGACTGGTCAGATGTGTGGACGGTGGGAATTTGTGACATGGACAACATCACATCTCGCCCCTTGTGTGCTAACACGCGTTTTGAGTTTTGACAGAAATCTGACAATAAAACACGAACATCTATGGATTCTACTGACTAGGAAAACACGTAAAAACAGAAACTCCAGTCACCGGAATCAGTTGACGGCGGCGTAAGTTTGACAAAAAACCAGTGGCCCTCTGACGTTTACCCGGTACGAACCTTCAACGATGGTACTTATTGGGATTGGAGCGACTAGAGCGGCATGAAGCACTGCTCTCTCTTTCTATCTCTCTGCAGTGGGATCACAAAATGGTGTAAATTATTTCTTGAGCGTTGAAGTTGAATTCTTCTTCTCTCTTCTTTTCTATTGGCCGAAAAAACAATTAAAAAAACGTATATTTGCTTCTAAGAGTGAACTTGGGCGGTTGACATTTGTGTGTATGATGGACGAAAGATAAGCACTTGGGGTTAGAATTTTTTTAAACATTAAACAAGTCAAACCAAGGTTCTTCTTTATAAAAAGAGAAGTGCTGTATATGGATGTTACAGAGAGAAGAAATTGATGAACATTTTAGACAAGAAAGAGAAAGAGAAGATCTTCCAAGTGATGGAGGACACGAAAACAGCGGGTCTTGGAGGTCTTGTTAAGGAGGAGAAGAGAGCTGAGTCCAGCGGTGACGAGGATAACTCTAGAGAGCTTGGAAAGGTGAACTATTCTCTTCTCCTTCACCTTTCGAACTACACTAGTTCTTGGTTTTCTTCTCAGTAATCCTGGTGAAAAATATGCGACTAATGGGATTTCTAGATGAAGAATTGAATTTTCTCTAGAAGGTCTCTCTCTCTCTGGTATGACCAATTAACTGGGTCTTGGGTATTGGGTTGAAATAATATTGGAATTTGTTTAGAACTGCATCGTTGATTGATTGGTGAAACTTTAGTATGTCGTGGTTAATTTTGTTTTTCCTACAGAAGCTTCTATACCCTTTACGTAGTTTATCCTAATATGCTTTCAAGATTGACAGTACAATTCAATCTTCTCGAGAATTTCAGAAGCTTCGCTTCAGAATGTTGGGTTGTTTAGACTCTTCTTTGTCTGCTTAAATTCCATAGGGAATACGGATATCCTTGTTCTAGTATACAGAAATAGAAATTTCAAATAAGGATGCATTAATTTTTCGTCTTTCAGATCACCAACGGAAGACAAGTCTTCGAGGACAGTAGTTCTAGTTCAAAATCCATCTTCTCCTAGCCAAAAAGATTCAGCCAATAGCAAACACAAACAGGTAGTCAGACGATCGAAACAAACTGAATTGTCTGACCTTAGTAATAATTTTCGACTATTCTTATTTTGGTTATCAAACGTTGAGTAACAGCTGGATACATGACTTATATTAAATGCTTAATTTGCTCCAAATAATTGAAATAGAATGGTCCCAGAATCCCAGAACTCTCCATATTCCAAGCTGGTATATGGCTTTCTAATTAAATACCTCTCAAATTCAATGAACAACTTTAATTCAAAATGAGGAAGGTTTCAGTTTTCTGAACTATAACATAAATATATTGAAATGGTTGTGGATGTAAATGGAAATAGTTCATCGTATTCCATATATAGTTGAAAAACTACAAGCGCACGCAGATGCAGCTGCAACCACTCTTACCGAATAACCAATCTATGGCTGTTAGCTGAAAGTGATGATTGATCCATTACCATTGATTTCTCTGCCCATTTTCGTGGATATGAGGTCCAATGATGCTGGGAAATCACATCAAGGTCTCATGATGATGTTGACCATAAAATGAATATATAGTACTATGCTACAGAGCGGGATCCAATTGCATATGACTTTTGAGCCATGGCGCATGGATCTCCAGCAAAGCTCCATGAATTCAGTCGGTGGGTCACCAATTCTTTAAGTTCTGAAACCCGAGTGAGAGAAAGGTTACCCATGACTTTTTCCATAGAATTTTCTGTAAAATAGGGAAATTGTTCTTCTGATATGCAAATATGATCTGAATTATCTGTCTTTATATAGTTCAGTTTGACATGTTTTGTGAGTGCTCGATCTAACCAATAAGGTTTGATTGATCGATATGCAGATTCCTACTGTAAGGACTGAAATGTCGTCCATGGAAACCATTTTAAGAGCATCATCCACAATCAAAAAGGATCAGGTAAGATCAGAACAGATTGCCGCCTGTACTATTTCTTCTCAAATCGTATTATTTAACGCTTTGTTATTTCTTAATTCACGGAATAGACATGCTCGAAACAAATTTCACTGTTAGGAATTGGTAAAAATTAATGAACGCATGAAGAGTGTGTTGCATTCTCTGAATTAATTCAATTGATTTTGCCGTTTTGTTGATACAGGAGGACCCGCTTGAATCTGCCAAAGCAGAAATGGGTGAAGTGAGAGAAGAAAATGAAAGATTGAAGATGATCCTATCGCGAATTGTTAAGGATTACCAGTCTCTCCAAATGCAATTCTATGGCATCGTTGAACAAGAAGAAGCTAAGAAGTCTGGAGATACAGCTCCTGTGGATCAAGAAATCGAAGAACCCGAACTTGTTTCGCTTAGCCTAGGAAGAACTGCGAGTGAACCCAAAAAAGATGAGAAGAATAGCAATTCCAGCAAGAGTAAAGAAGATGATGACCAAGAAGGACTATCTCTTGGGTTGGACTGCAAATTTGAAGTGTCTAAGCCGGCTTCGACTGAAAAGGCGTCAAACCCAAGCCAGGAAAATAGCTTTGAAGAGCCGAAGGAAGAGGATGCCGGGGAGACATGGCCACCCAGCAAAATTCTCAAGGCCATGAGAAGTGGAGATGATGAAGTTTCACAACAGACTCACGTCAAGAAAGCTAGAGTTTCTGTCAGAGCAAGATGCGACACCCCAACGGTTCGTTTCAATTTTTAATCTACTCCATCGGTTAATATGGATTATATGTTGAATGGGTTTCAGCTTTCAAGAGCCAATATGTTTACTGGTGCATGTGTTCGACAGATGAACGATGGATGCCAATGGAGGAAATACGGGCAGAAAATCGCTAGAGGCAATCCATGCCCTCGAGCATACTACCGCTGCACTGTTGCACCAGCTTGCCCAGTAAGAAAACAGGTATTATATTCTTTTTAGTCTTCTCCTTCACGCACCACTTGATCAGTTATTGGCTTCTTCTTAGCAAATATTCAGTTGAACCCTTCTGAGTTCCGACTGTCAAAGGTCGATAGAATAATGCAAATCAACCTTAACCTTACATTCTTTATATCGAAACCTGCTTGTTGGTACAAAACAAAACTTGCTTCAGCAATCAGCACATTGGTGGTCTTGGACTGTTCAACCCAATGAACCGTGGACCGCCTATTGGTTTTCAAGATATAATATCTTTCAGCAATATATGTACGCATACAGAATTGTCCGCTTGGCATGACCAATGGATCAGTTCTTAATCTTTCATTCTCAAAGACGTTTGACTACTCTTCATCTTTCCCTGATCACTGTATTTGTTTGCTTTCATGGAATTTCATCAGGTTCAGAGATGTGCCGAGGACATGTCCATTTTGATCACCACATACGAGGGAACCCACAACCACCCACTACCGGTCTCAGCCACAGCCATGGCTTCCACCACCTCCGCGGCCGCTTGCATGCTAATGTCCGGCTCATCTAGCTCCCGATCAATCCCCGGGTCCTCTGCTACAAATACCACCTCTGCTGATCTCCATGGTCTAAACTTCAATCTAGGAGATAATACAAGAGCCAGGCCATCGTTCTACCTACCAAACTCTTCAATCTCATCCGCTACTTCACACCCCACCATCACTCTCGACCTTACCGCTCCCCCTTCATCGTCAGCCTCTTCTTCCTCTCAGAATAATAGGCTATCTCCAAACTTCCCGGTTCAAAGATACTCTTCGACAAGCTTTAACCTTTCTTCTACAGAACCTAATAACTCCCAACTAACCTGGGGAAATGGATACCTAAGCTATGGCGCCCAGCCCTATACTAAGAACCAACAACTTGGGCCTTTAAATCTTGGCAGGCAACCTCAACCTCAAGAGCATTTCTACCAATCTTACATGCAAAAGAATAATCCAGCTCCTTCTCAGCAGTCTTTAACCGAGACCATTGCAGCTGCAACAAAGGCCATTACATCAGACCCAAGTTTCCGATCGGCGCTAGCAGCGGCAATCACATCAATCGTAGGTGGCGGCAGCACTGGAGCCCAGGGAAACCAAGGTGGATGTGAGAATTTTGGCCAGAATTTGAAGTGGGGTGAGAACATTAATACCATTACCTCCTACACATCGACTCCGAATGGGAACGGATGTGCATCGAGCTACTTGAACAGATCGTCTTCTTCAAATACTCAACAAGGAAGTTTGATGATTCTCCCACCTGCGCTGCCATTTTCAACCTCTAAGAGTGCATCTGCGTTTCCAGCTGACACTAGGGACCATATCAACTGATGTCTTTTTGTAATTATTGATCGTTTGGAACTCTCTAAATAATTACAGTTGCTTGGCCGCTGTGAAGAAAAAATTGCATGGTGCAGGTGATGACAGCAAGCGAAGTATGTTGAAAACAGTTATTAATTAATTACCAGTGTTTTGAACGGGTTTCTTTGACAACTTATGTTGATATATATATATATATATATAGTATAGTATAGCTAGGATAATACGGCATCAGGAGAAAGGCTGAAAATTCAATGCCCACAAAGTGGAGCTTCACTTTGGTTAGGTTCTGTAGTTTATATCCACGACCACGTCCACGTGAATGATAAAGACATTGTTTTCTTTTTGTCAAAACTGAAGCAGGATACGTTCATCCTCCACCGTCGCTGCAACAAACCCAGAAGCAGTGTCGTTGCTTCCTATCCTTCTTCCCTCCTCTCTCACTCTCTTTCTCCATTTTCTTAAACACTGAACAGAGACCGCCGAACCCGCCAGTTACAGAACGCGGCAAGTAGAGAGACGAAGTTCAATCTGATCCGATCACCTCCAGTCACCACAACCTCTCTTTCCATTTGTTATTTCAAGCTGTTCCTTTCCTGTACTTTTGGCTAAGAGAATCTTGGTTATAAATACTTCTTCCCCACAGCCATGGAAACGTGTTATGGTCTTGCAGGAAGCTACCAAACAGCCAAATTAAGTCATCCTTCAGGAGCAATCATCTTCTTACTTGCAAGATTAAGAAAACTCCACATATAGTGATAGCATGGATTGTTGTTCACATTTGTTAGTCTACCCCGAGTTCATTAAACCAAGTGCAACAATAACTCTCCAGTTTTAATTCATCTAAAACTCGGCTGAGTCCCCACCAGATTGAGACACGTCAAAAATAACTCATTAACTACTTGATTATTAATTAATATACTATTTTCTTGAGACGTTGTTTTCTTCTAACTAATAAGCTTGGAGATTATTTAATGAAATCTTCAAGGTGTGGAGCAAATGATGGGATATTTTCTTAATTTCTAGGATGGACTACTTACTCCTCTCATTATAGGCTGCAAAGACAATCACTATAGTTCATCTTGACTACTTTTCAAAATTTGCAGCCAAATTGCCTACTATGGATACAACCAAGAACTTAGAACTTAAGACAAGATTCGACTGAAAACCAAGGTTCTGGTCATAATGATAAGATATTTGCCATGTGTGAAAAAAAATTGGAATGCTAGATTTTCTCCACTTAACTTTGAAGCCAATTATATAGTTCTGTCTGTCTTTGTTGTTTGTTGTATGCCTACTTTACTAAGTAGTAAGTACACATACATCTTATTTAGGGGTGCATTGGGTCAGGTTAGGTTGATAATTTGTTAAATTTTCAATTGGGTCAAACCCTAACCCTAGCGAGATGGGTGTATATGTTAAATTTTCAATTGGACTGTAACCCTAACCCAAGCCCAATATAGTTGAAATTCCTTAAACTGAACAACCCAACTTGAAGCCCTAATCTTATTCAATTGTTTCCAATCAACAAAAAAATGCAGCGCATTATTTCATAGAACTTTTGACCTAAGAATCCGAACCTTTGATTTGATTATTAGTGATTGTGAATGACACTCAAGATGGTTAGGTGCTTGAATCTTTCTAATGTGCAAAGAGATTGTACCAGCCATGCAAATGGACTGCTTGACATTTTTGAAAATGGGGTCTTTGTGTATATATATGTGCTTTTGGCATAACACAATTTAATGCGAACGGAGAGTCAAACACAAAGGATCGATGCATTGTAGGTTAATGACCTTCAGCCTCCATTTCTTTATTGCAGTTTAATTTAGAATAGTATGGAAGTGCAAATTTTGGTTTATACTGCGTTTGGAAACAATGCAAATGGAGTGTAAATCCCAGTTCAGGGTAAATTGTATTCCGGTTTACTTTTGCCAGTATTTGGCATCATTAATTACATTTATGCATTGGCAAATGATAGACCAATACATATTTACATTGATAATAAGATGTAAAAGTACATCAATAAAAAAGAAGTAAATTTACATTTCAAGTGGGCTTTTGATAAAAAAAAAAGCATATGCTTTATTGAAATTCATGTTTGCATCCATTCCAGCTAAAAATCTGTTTGGTAAGAAGATAAATTTCTTGGTGCAAAACTAACTCAATTTTACACTCTACATATTTGCATTCACACTTATTAATTTGCATTGTTTCCAAATGCAACATTTGGCTCAGTTTGAAAGTACAAATACAAATATATGCAAAATATAAGGATTTGCACTCTACATATTTGTATTTGTACTCCTTCCAAACTGAGCCTTCATGTTTCACTTTACTTCATCTACATTACAAACAAGCAAAAAACACTAAAACAAAAGATAAACCAAAATTTAAACTCAGCTCATTTGCATTCCCACATATGAACCTTTGTTTAATCCAGTTCAATAAAGACTATAATAATAGAGCCCAAAAGCTTGATTACTAAGCTGCATTTGGAATTCTTTATTCCTTTTTGCTTTTAAAAATTCAGTGTTCATAGGGGTATTTTAACTGCAAAAAGAGATAAGTCCTTAAAATAAGGTATGCCAAATGCAGCCTAAATGACCTTCAATCTAATCTTCACCAAAAAAAGGCCCTTCAATCTAATGCTACGTACATACTTAGCAATATCATCCAACACAAAGTTTTTGTCCATGTGGCATAGATGCATAGATATGGACTTAAGCAATGTTTTAAAAACCCAGCCTAGAGACTAGAATATTTTTTTTCTTGGCTAGACAAGTCATCAGTTCAACCATCTTTAGAGTTTGGATTTCCTCCTCAGAATCTTCCTCACACCACGTTGCAGTTGCACATCAGAAACATCTCTCATACTTGTATGTTTTCATTCATGGGGAGATGTTCCCAATGCATGGCTGCAAGTGCTGACATGGATGTGAGGAGGAAATCCGGATTCCCATCTAGATCAATAGGTCAACTTGTGACATCATGATAATAAAGAATTAAGGCTCAATTAAGGCTCATGATAATAAAGAATTGTGCAACACTTGGTTGGTTCGGTGTCAGTTGGGGAAACTTCTACTGATAGTGGTATTGGGAGAGGTTGTGCAACACTTGGTGCTGGTGAAGCTGGTGCTACTGGAACTGCTGCATTTGGGCTTGCACTGCCCGCATGCATTGCATTAAGTCGTCCAGCCGATTTTGGCTAGCTGCCAGGGGGACGGCGGTTGGTTCAGTGAAGGTAGTCTCGATGGGAAGAGGGAAGGGGATGTTTGCGGAAGGCAGGCTTACAGGTGCCACTRCTTGTGGCGTAGTCAGATTGGGGGTTCCATCCACTGTGAGGGGGATGGTGAACTACCCAACACACACCACGGGAACTTGG